AACAAATGGCCTTTTTTAAATTAAAAAAAAAAGAAATGGGGTGGCAGGGGGTAAAGTCTTCCTTCCGTTTGGTTAGCTATCTTCTGTCTCTGGTGTGTTCCCATTGCTCAAGCTTGTCTCTACTTCAATGAAGCATTAAGTGGTTGGACTTTACTTTCCCAGAAGGGTTCAGTGATGTTTTTGAGAAGAACCATTTTCTTCAGGGTGATGCGGAGGGCTTGGGCACGTCGCTTCCTCACTCGGGGCGCAGGTGGGGACGGAGCTGTGGCAGCTGGATGGGATCCTGGGGGACCATGTCCTGGTTTTTGGCACATCACTTTTATTCCAAGAAGCAGGCGTTGTAACCAATGAGTTCAAATAGCAGGAATAAAGCAGGGGATGCTCTTTGGGCTAGTGATTCTCTGCATGAATAGCTCTGCTTCGACCAGCCGGGGCTGAATGTGGCAGTCGCGCGGTGCCGGTCCCACATTGGCTCCCCATGGGAGCCTGCATCCACGGTACCGTGGTGGCCGGGGCTTGGGAGAGCTGCCCTTTGCTGGGGGAGCAAGGTATCTGCCCCCAAAGGGGAGATGACAAGTGTTGGATGCCCAAGAGGCAGTAGAGGAAATCCTGAGGCCAGGGCTTCTGGGCTTTTGGCTAGTCTGGGTCTATGGTTCCTTGCAGCTGAACTCTTGTCCGTCTTGAAATTCTGGCTTTGTAACTGTGTTTTTCCATACTGTCTTAGAGGAGAGAGGCAATACTTTCCTTCTTCCTTGCCTGCTGATCCCAAGCAACCCAGATCATTATTCTACTTAGTCCGGTAATATTGAAATGAAAGTTGGGTTAGCATTTCTAGAGATGGATAGCAAGAGATCCAAAGGATCAGTTTAAAATTCGTCTGTTCTTCTTGAGTGTCTTTTCATGGATATTTCTTATCCAAAACAAGAAATTGCCTTGCTCTTGCACTTCTTGTCTCATGAATTTGGAAGAACAACAAGAACTATTCTTCACCCCAGAGGCAAAAGGGGGCTGAGGACCAAAATTAGAAGTCAAAGCCTTTATTCATGATTTCAGATCCAGGGTAGTTACATTTCTTTTTTTAGGGTTTGCTTTGCAGCTCTTTGCTTGTGAGATTGTGTGTCACTTGTCCACACACAAAATAATGCTGCCTTTTGACCTATCTACAGCCTGGCTATTGATTGTACTGTACTAACAGATCTCATTAGTAGGAGTCCTCAATAGGACAGAGTTCAAATGTGCTTAGTTGGGTAAATATTTGATATAGGGACTTCAGAAAATGATGCACAAGATCAAAGACACAGAGACAGTCAAAAAAAAAAAAAAAAAAAAGGCATTGAACTTATAGATGTAGCCCAGCCAGATTTAAACGTGAGAAGAGTTTGTAAGGCAACTCAAGAGGGCAATAAGTGACACAATGAAGAATGTCTGATGTCTCTTGAATGCCGTCCATGTAGCCTGTTGGGCCTCGTGCAGAGCAAGTTGGACATCCGTCCAAGACAGAAAATGTGGTGAAACCATTTCAACCCCGTGGGATCTCCCGCCCTGGTTGCACTGACACACACAGCTTTGTGCAACAGCTTTGTGGGACTCTGGAGACACTGTGTCCGCTGATATTTAAATGTGGGAGGTTATTTGATGTGCTACAGATTCGAAGGAAGTGGTTGGTCCCTGAATCTCTCCTTTACATCATTTCAGAGCAACTTGAGACAGGAAAGGCAGTTCTGTGTGTCCTCCTGATCATGGATGTCTTGTCATTCTCTCACAAGTCCAGTTAAATGTCCTTGAAGAGCAGTGCATATGTAGTATATGGTGATAACACTGCTCCAGAAATATTTCCATAACGGTAACTGAATGTCTTCACAGTTCCTGATGGGAAGAAGTCTTAAGTCGTTCATCTAATCTGCTCCACCTAGAGAATTTGGCATTTCTGTGCTCTTTTTGCTATTCTTTCAAGAGCTTTTTATCCTTTGAGAAAATATTTTATTTGAATGGCACAGTTACGAAATGATACCCTGGTATCTGATGCAAGAGAAGCTGCCTGCTGCCTTTGGTGATTGAGAAGGTTCATAAGCTTTACTTGAGCTTAATAACTTTTCCTTGACTTTCCTAGGAGTGTACAGAAGGCAACAAAGTCCACTTAAAAACAAACAAAAAGGAGTAATTCTATAATGGAGCTGCTTCATAAGCTAGAAAAGAATGTAAAATAAGATAAAATGTGGTGTTGTAGGATGATGCAATAAGTTGTTGAGAAGTGTGTCCTTTTGTGATGGGTGTTTTCTTATTCCAGCAAAGATTGTGTTGTTTAGGCTGTAAGTGTTTCAAAACTTCATATGTAGTGAAATCTGTTCTGGGTATTGATAAATCTATAAAATATGCTGATAAATGTACAAGCATTTTGCAAGTTTTGCTGTAATCAGATTCATATAACAATGACTATATATGCAGATGTTACTGCCAAATGACAAACTTTTCTACTATGTTGGCATAGATCTGTTTTGCTGAGCATGATTATGATTGTAAGATCTGCACGTCAGGCTTTACTTCCCTCTCAGGGCCTCTGTCATGCCAAAAATCCTAGTTCCTCTCATGGCCTCTCTCCTGAAGGTAAAGGAAAAGGCAGCTTGCCTGATACGCAGCGGTGAAGCAAGGACTCATGGACCCCAGAAGCATTTGCGTAGCAAATACTGATAGGGAAGTTAGTCTCTGGTTAATCCTTCATTTGCTTCAAGCATAGCGTGAGGGAGTTTTGTATCCGTGGAGATCTGGATCTCGGTATTTTGCTGGAGGACAGATAAGTGTTGGGTGCAGACAGAAGTGACAAGTCATTCCAACCCCGAAGAACTCGTGGGGTTGAAGGACCTAATGCCTGGGAAGGGAAATGGCCTGTACAAAGTCTGTCAGATAAATAGGGCTTGTTTTTAAAACAATATTGAAAACACTTATTTTTAAACATCCGCCAACTTTTTTGCTGGTAGCTATATTATCTACTTGGAGGATAGAAGTTTAAGTGAAAATAGATTTATTTGGGCAGCAGAACCACTCTTAACTACTGGTGACAGTGAAGCTGATGATCAGTTTGGGACTGACAAAGCAAATGCTATACTTAAACACATCATGATACAATGCAGAGATCTGTTGTGATAGTGCAACAAATCACAAATTAAGCTCCATGGGAACAGTGTTGTGAATCTGCACAGGTGCTGCTCCGTGCAGCAGAGATGTTGCAAAATCAACTGAGCAAGTTGGGATGGAAAGGAGAGTTTTGACGTTGTCCGACTAGCAGAGATAAGGCTGCAAAGACCCAAGGATGAAGATTGTAATGGGCTTGCAGGATTTTTGCTCAGTTATTCCTTGCTCTGTACTTTAAAAACTTTTAACCTTACTGCTAAAGAAAAATACCATTGTCTATTAGTATGACTGGAACGAAAGATGAATAGTGAATTAGCCTTGAGCTAACTGTCAATCTGACTTTGATAGCCCATCACTTAAAAGGTCCTTTTATGTTTATGAAAAAGCATGACGTCAAAGCCAGGGGGAGAAAAAAATAATACCAATACTTAGGGCTAAACTTGCAGAGCTTCCAAGAAGAGGCCCTGTGTGAACTGTTTGTTTCTCTACATGCGTGGCTAATTAGCCTAGGTTGCTATAAGTCTCGGCAGTGGCCTTCAAACTTCAAGTTTTGGGGTAGCTTGTTTATGGTGTGTCCATACGTGAACCTCTCCAAACCGGGATTGTGTAAAACTAAGGATATTTCAGGCAGTTCTCGTTCAACTTATAAGCATTATGCTGGAAATGCTTGAGTATAATCATTATCAGGTGAGTTGTTACTGCACATTTTTTTTTAAAATAAACTTTTCAGCAAAGTCTTATGGTATCCTGGAAATCCTTTTTTTATCTGCAAGGGATCTGAAATGTTTTATTTAATTTTTTTTTCCGCAAAAATAAGTGGAGTTGTTTGTAACCACAGTAAGGGTCACTTTAATAGAACTGTTTAAAAAGATTGTTATAATATTTTGTTTTTCCTACCTTCTGCTAAAAGTCTAAAGTTGAAGGTGGCAAAAAACTTTGAGGAGTGGTGGAAGTTTGTGTGGAAAAAAAATGTTCTAGTGTTTATTCAGTGAATTCTTTGTATTTTGTAATTTTTTTTTAAATCTAGTCGTTCTGAAAAGGTTGTTTTAAATATGGAAATTTCAAATTGTGATCACATTGCTTGGTCTGAAAGTTTGTGTGGAAAAAAAGTGTTGTTCTAGTGTTTATTCGTCTAGTGAATTCTTCGTATTTTGTAATTTTTTTTTAAATGTAGTAGTTCTGAAAAGGTTGTTTTAAATATGGAAATTTCAAATTGTGATCACATTGCTTGGTCTTCACTGAAACATTTACTATTTGCATGATGTGTTTTTAAACGGGCTTTTATTTGTACATGATTTAGGCCACACATATTGAAGATATAAATACTCTGGAGGCAAAAAAGGCGTATTCCTTTTTTTTAAAGGATGTGTTACTTTTAACTAAAAACTACCTAATCTTTTATTCTGCCCCGTACCTAACATCTGCTAGAGGATAGCAATCTATGCTACTTGGCTTTAATTGATAGCTATTAAGAAGTAAAAAAGAATGCTGTTGTGCGACTTATTTCCCCATTTAAGGGAAAATTCAATTTTGTCTAGCTTATTTTCAAATATTCTCAGACATTATCTGTGTAAATAGAAAAACTTGAGTAATGATTTCAAGTAAAAAAAAAAATCTGATTGTAGAAAAGTGAAACTTATTGGCCTTGCGATGAAGTAGCATTTATTGAAACGTTAGTTCAAACCATTTCTTGCTCCCCACTGTGAATTGGTGAAGCACCGCTGACTTCCCTGGAGGCACACGGATTCCCTTTTAGTCGAATGTTTAGTTGATATGCTCAATATACACAAGTGTATGCGTCTCACTGATAGCACTTTTAATGATGTTGTGAAACAATTAAAACATTTATTTTTTTAATGCTTTGCTTACAGGTGCAGACCCACCTTGAGAACCCAACCAAGTACCACATTCAGCAGGCGCAGCGGCAGCAGGTGAAGCAGTACCTCTCCACCACTCTAGCAAACAAACATGCCAACCAAGCTCTGAGCTTGCCGTGCCCAAACCAGCCTGGGGATCATGTCATGCCGCCTGGAACGGGAAGCAGTGCACCCAACAGTCCCATGGCCATGCTCACCCTCAACTCCAACTGTGAAAAAGAGGTAAGGTGATCTTACTATCTGTATTCACAAAAATACAATTGCCATCTCTGCTTTCTTCCTGCTAATAATTTTCAACCACATTTGCCTGTTGTTAGGATGTTAAGTTTATCTTTTCTGAACCTTTGACTTGAAAAATGTAGCTGCTTACCTCTGTGCTTACCTGATGATTTTGTATTTGCATAAAATAATCAGGGCAAAAAAGAAGCTCTTGTGTCCCAGTAACTTCCTCTTTTGAACTATTTTAGCTAGTTTATGCCTATTAAAACTTCTTTTTTTTTTTTTTTTTTTTTTTGCTTGCTTGCTTGCCCAATGCACACAGTGACTAATTGACCTTTGGAGTACACAAAGCAGTTTTGTGTGCTGTAGCTTTCTGGAATAATGTTATTTATGGCTCATTCACTGTATAAAGAGCAAAGAGCATAACAAAAATAACTGAGAAGTGCAACACTTTTTGAGATATTTTAGATTTCTAGATGTTTTTACAGTAAAATCTGAGTCTCTTGCTTAGCTGGAACTCCAGATTGTCCCAGCTAGTAAGTGCTGTTCCTAGTAGCAGCTCAGTATTATCAATGAAGAATTTACTAGTCTATATGTAGAAGCGCTTTGCAGTTTTGTCTTAATATTTCTGGCAAAAAATTTAGTTGGTTGCTATGAGGATGTGGGCTCAGGTACAGAGGGGAGGTTATTCGAATGATGTTAACAAGAGTGAGATTCATGAGGTTAAAATTTTGCAATTTGACAATTCGGAGAGAACTGTAGAGCTTCTTCATCTTCCCCCACCAGCTTTCATGGTACTTTTTAAACACAGAAACAGATGCACTCCTAGGGGAAACTTTTATCAAACTTAGTTTGAGCAACAGTTGTAACAAGTTGGGTTTTATACATGCACGTGAAGCTATTGGTGCTTCATAATTTCAAAATAAATGAAAATCAAATAGTCCCATCCTCTGATCCCAGCTGTGCCCAAGCGTTTTTTCTCAGGATATTTACAGCTTCACTTTGCTGTGTCATCAGCCACGTGTGTGCATGACCCTGTTTCAGTTCTGCTCCTTTTGGGACAGAGCCTGTGCCATGAACTCAGATCCATGCTTTGCCTTCTTTTTTTCCTTTCCTTCTTATTTCTGCAGGGATTTTATAAATTTGAAGAGCAAAGCAGGGTTGAGAATGAGTGCCCAGCTCTGAATACACACTCACGAACATCATGCATGCAGGTACTGGATGACACAGGATTTGGGACACAGAACCCATTCTTAATAAGAATATTTCTTTGAAATCATGCTGCGTAAAGTTACCCTATGATATCTTTAAAAAGTTAAGTATAAATTGGATTGAAAAAAAACCATGGATTATAAATCTGCTATGACCTTGCAAATCAATGTCGACTTGGAAAAAAATGCATTAAAAATCTGAAAAGGGCAAATGCTTTTCCACAACTGTGGCATGATAGTAGAGTATCATCTCGACCATGTTTTAAGATCCCTTTTTAAGGAAATCTTTTCTAATATAATTTCCTCAAGACTACATCTTTTAAGACTACATATATGTGCTGTTATAATACAGTGTTCAGAGTTTCTCTTAGAGTTTCTAGACATACCACATTTGTGTTTAAAACAGAGTTGAATAGGCTATAGTACAGCCATGGTAATTTGTCTTTGGTAGTCATCTTTTCTTTTTTTAACAAAATGTTTTTATTCCTAGTAACAGTCTTTAGCATCTGGGCTATAACTGCTAGTTCTCTTCTTGCCATTCCTGTAGTTGTTTTATTTCTAGGCTTCTGCTTTCTTGAGCTGAAGTGAAAATCCCTTTTTCTGCTATTTCTACTGTCAACTTCAGGCTTCGATTTTGCTGGTTACTGTTGTTATAGCCAATGAAGAGAAACAGGCAGTCCTACGGGACGGTTCAGAGTGTCTAACTGGATGATTTTGAGGTCTTCATTTCTCCTGAGTGTGCAGGAGCTTCTGGAGGGCTGTTAAAGCCCAGGAACAAGATTGCTTGCACCACTTATCTTTGGGATACTCTTGGATGATGCTTCCTGGGAGGGCATAGTGGGGAAATGACCCCTATGGATTTCCCTGTTGAGGAAGGGAAGTCTTTCACCTGCAGTCCTTGGTGCTGTTGCCTTCACTTTTTGTCTTGGCCCTGCTGGGTGCAGATCTGTCTGGCTGCAGGTTTTTAGCTCATAGGTAGATGCAAGAGAAGAGTGTAGACTCAAAACTGCTTGTCTAAGAGGAGCAATGTCCTTGATTTATTGCAAAGTGATTCAATGGGAGGAATGCATAAGATGATGAAGCTTCAAGGGTTTTTGTATCCAGGCTGTACTTGCTGGACAGTGAAGACTACAACTATGATTTGGAGTATGGTGTAAAAAAATAAAATAAAAATAAAAATAAAAAAATCACAGATCATCTGTACTGCAGCAAATGTGTGTCTAAAGTGCTCTGTTAGCACTCTGAATTTTGTCATAACTCTGTTTTCCATGTCCACCTTTTCTTCTGCAGATGGATGATGTGATTGATGACATAATTAGTCTGGAGTCAAGTTACAATGAAGAAATCCTTGGCCTGATGGACCCTGCCCTGCAAATGGCAAATACGGTATAATGATCCTTTCCTTCTGGTTGCCCTGCTAGCAGTCTCATTGCCTCTCTGAGACCTCAAAGCTGGAGCCTGACTTCGTCTCCTAACAATTAAGTAGTTATTGTATTGTCCTATGGAGAATAATTAGGCTTTCTTGGTAAGAGCTTAAGTTATGCAGTTGCCATGGATTTAAAAGTGCAAGCTGGCATCAGATTGAGGGAATACAAAAGGTAATTTTGCTTTTCTTATTTCAAAGTCAAGTTGGTTGGTGTAACAGAGGAGCGAAGGAAACTGTTTAACAGAAGTAAGCCTGTACCTATTAAAGATAGCCAGGGACATTAAACTCAAGCTTTCGAAAGCCTGGAAGAAGTCTGTAGCACTCCATGTTCCCGTATTTGTGTAATGTGCAAGTAAACAATTTAGTCCATGCTAGGATGTATGTTAGCATGTTTTATTTAACCTAGGTAGATCTAAGTTAATTTCCAATCGGAGACAAGTCGCAAGCTAGAAGACAATGGAAGTGGTAGAAAATGAAACAAAAAACTCAACAGCTTCCCTCTGGGGGAAAATCAAAAAAGAAAGAAAAGAAATGAGGTGGTCAATTTAAAAACAAAAAGGAAGAGAAGGGTACATATAAAGTCTCTGATAGAAGAAAAGACGTAATATGTGAGAATAAACAAGTAAGGGAAGGCGCATGTTACTTTTGAGTTGCTGTTTCTGTCTGCTGGTTCACATTGCTGTGAGCATTAATATAATCGTGCTTCTGGCATAATCTTATTTTGATCTTTTGTGGAGGGTAGCTCCAGTGAATTTTCTGCCTGAGGCTTAAGTGCTCTTAGATCTGGCCGAGTAGATGTCTGCCAGTGCTGGCGTCTGGCTCTTTTTTATCTAGTGCCAAGTTTTACCACTCACCACATAGCATAGATCTTGTGGCGTAGGTTTACATTTGTCTACAGTGCTTGTCTGGTGTCGTACAGCCTAGTCTTAGGCTCCTGCAGATTCCCACAGCCCTCTTGGAGGCATCCTGAGTTGCGCAGGAAACAGGCCACCAGCATCCTGCATGAGCAGTGCCCTTTGAGTAGGGTGAGAAGTAACTGCAGGCTCCTGCCAAAGAGAATGACTTCTGCAATCCCAGAAGGCCCCAAAAGTTCATCTGCCCTGGAATTTGAGAAAATTTAAAAGCCCATGAAAAAGTTAACAGGAATCTTCAAAGTGTTCTTATTAAGGGTTGAGATTCTTCTGGAGTCATTTCTCCACTGTCCCACATGGAACCACGTGGGATGATATAGGACTTCGTCTCTTTTGTGCTGCTCTTATTTCCTTCCACAGGGACCCCAGCTGTTTGTGTCCAGAAAGGCACTGAATTGGGCTCTTGTGGTACAAGGAGTTCGTGTAGCTGATCGAGTACATCTGATTCCTTCCTGCTCGCTGCAGGACAGCAAACCTTGTGTAAACTGTCAGGCTAGTGTTTGCTGTAAAACCTTACCCATCTGCATATGACTTTCCAGTCGGACCTTTTCCCCTCCTTATTTCCCAAAGCTGTTTATTTCTAGAAGAGATGCAAGTCCATTTTTTTAAGTAATGCAAGTGTTTCTAAACTTGAACAGCGAAGATGGGCAACGCAGGTCATTTAGGAACAAAGTTATGCCTTTTGTTTAGATTAATCAGGCTTTCAGAAAGTGCCCATAACGTGGTGAAATAAGGACCTGAAGTAGTGGAATTAAGACTTTCTTACTGACCTACTTCAAACCACTAGGGTCAGAAAGAATATTTTGGTCTCTGAATGAATCTGAAATTCTTCTGAAGTAATGTAGATGGAACCATGCATCTCACTGATTGGTTTAGGGGAGGGAAAAAAAAAAAAAAAAAGAGGACTTGAGTTAGCAGATGTTTTTATTTTGGAACAGAATTTGGTTCCGAAAACACACAGTTTTACTAATAAATAACAAATATGTGTAGACCGAGCTAAATAGAGGTGGAAGAAATCAAGAGGAAATGTCTAAAGAGACACGAGCTATAAATAGCTGTGCTGAAACTGCAACAAAGGCTGCGATTGTGCCCTAACCAACAAAGCATAAAAGGACCAGTTTGCTACTTGCGTCAACAATAAGCAAAATCAGAGGCTTGTGTGTGGAACAAGCTAAGGGAGGTTTCCAAGTACCTCTTAATTGAAAAGGGCTCATGGCACTAAACAGGGTATAGAAGTGTTTGTCAACTTTGGTATTGGCTCACAAGTTCACTGCCTTTGCTTTTGAGGTGAAAAATGTCACAGAATGATTGCTAGTTTGCTGAGGGTGTTGTGCTTGGATATAACTTGGTAATTGAATTGCTAGATGCTGTGTAAAGTCCTCTTACGGAGGAAACGACAGTTAGTTTCTCTAGAGCTTGCAATTTCTGCAGGGCTTCCAGTGAGCGCAGTCAGCAACCGCTGCCTGTGTCACCTTCCCCTTTGGTGGCTGCTTACACAGGTCTAGTTTTCTTGCATGCAAATCCAGCCCTGTGTTAACACCTTCAGAATAAAATCAAACCTGTTTTAAGAAGCAGAGTTTTGTCTTGGCTTTACTAAAGCAACTCTGTCACCTTGACTACTCTCAGTGTTTGATTATAACTCAGCAACTTTACCCAAGCTTGGAGATGCTAGTTTCTAGGTTTCTGGAAAAAAAAAATCTTTCTGAAATTCCTAATTAGATTTCACATGCCTGCTTCTGAACTTCAAGTCCTTGGGCTACAAACAAGCCCTTTGTGCTCTTGCTGTGCTTGGGAGCATGAATAGAAAAAGCACGCCCAAGTCAGAAGGGTGCGTGACGCGAGCGCTGCGTCTGTCAGGGATGTGGTGAGGGCCAGAAGATGCGAGGGTCACCCTTGTGGGGCTGTGGTCCTGGGGACGAGTTATTGTGGACAGATTAACTTGGGTCCTGTCTGTAAAGGGTAGCTAGGACCTAGGATGTGTTATAGATGTTCCTTTTTCTGTACTGTATTCAGGAGCTACACAGAGGGCTTGGTCATGGTGACAACTCAGTGATGTTTCCCTGTCACTCAGAGGTTGTCCAAGACTTCATTTCTTTTGGCAGCCACCTGCTAGACTAGAGAATTCTCCTGAAAAATCTGAGCATGGCTTCAAAATGCTGGTGCTTAAGTGGCTGCTTATCTGCATTAGCAGAAGTTTTCTTAGGTCTCAGTCAAGCAAGGAGAGTCCCTAGAGACTTAACAGTCCGTGCTGTGAGTCACCCCATTGTATTCTGCCAGGCATATAAAGCTAATGCTCCCTCTAATCTCTGCAGCATCCATGTCTTGAAGGGGTAGGTTTTATCTTTGTGTTGCTACTCAGTTTATATCTTATCTGTTTTTATAGTAGTCTCGTCAATACTTAGTTTGAAAACAAAAAAGAATGGGTAAAATAATCCACAGGGTAAATGTAACATTCTTCGAATACTTCTTAATTTAAAGGTAAAACTATTGGTCTTGTTAGAATGTGTTCATTTCTATGTACATCTGTTTGCTTAAACATGTATGTAAGAGTAGCAGGACAAATGATTACTTGAGGAAACAGTGCCAAAATAATCTTCCTCCTGGAATATTTTTATTATACAAAACAAAAACCAAGTTATACTAAACTCGAGAGCTACTTAAATGGAAAACATTTGACAAGTCACATAAAATGTTTTTGATTAATGCGGTGTTCTACTTCAAACATCTGATAACTTGCTAAGCATTCTCACGCTTAAATATTCCTCAAAAATTGGGGGCTTCATCCTGTGAGTGTTTTGCTGACCATTTCAGGGTTTGTGTGTATGTGTGTGCATGCACAAGAGAAGTGGGGAAATTCATATGTAAATGCTTCACTGAAAAAACAAGGCAAGATTAGCACTGTGATTACTGTCAGTGTGCTACCTCTTTCTAAAGAAAGAAAATGTTTAAATCTTTCTAAAGACTTTCTCACCATGAGTTGTGCATTTAAAATGCACGTTCTTGAGAAGCGAGGGCCGAAATTTTCTTGGTGGGGGTGTTTTTCCCCATGCATACGCATAACTTGTGGTGACATTATTGCAAGCTCTCTTTGAACATAGAAAAGGGTACAGATTTCCTAGCAGATGCTAACTGTTCTGCAAGTCTTTCATAAGGGGCAACATGAATGATCTTTTTTCCTTGTTTATCTTTTCCAGTTGCCTGTGTCTGGCAATTTGATTGACCTTTATGGCAACCAGAGCATGCCTCCTCCAGGGCTGAACATCAGCAACTCGTGTCCAGCTAATCTTCCTAATATAAAAAGGGAGCTCACAGGTAAATGTTTTAAATAAAACCTTGGAGTAATGCCACAATGACTTTGAATTAAGGAAATATAGGACGTAATTTCTAGGGAGGAATGAAAACTTGGATGAAGAGCTTAATTTTTGATTTGTAGTCTGTTTTATAGAAAATACATTAGCTCGTAATACAGTCTTGTCATTTGGGAGCATGTGTGTTTTCTGACAAGCAGGTTGTGAGCCCAAATAGAGAGGGATAAAGTTTGCTTTAAATGAAGATGAAAAGAAAGTGTCCTCCAAAGGTGTCATCGCATTTTTTTTTTCAGCAATGAAATTTTTCCTCCTATAAAACAAACTCTTGGTAGCGACTGGGGAGAAGGAGCCCTAACCTCTTCCTCCCACCACAAGCACACACGTACAGAATTCAAATAATTTGAAGGTCTATAAGGGGAGCTCAGGATTTTCAAGTGTATTTTATTTTTTTCTGTTCTTCATTTCTATCCGAAAGGGCCTAGCCACACGTAGGACATGGTAAAAAGGCAAGCTTGCCTGTAGAACCAATAAGTAGTTATTGGTCCTAGAACCAAAGACAAATACACCTCAAGATCCAAAACTGACTGTTCCTAAGGCCAGTTGGGGGACGCACAGTGTGCAGGCCTGGTGGATGATTCATTTCTGTCTCATCTTTCTCCTTTTTGTATTTCTGTTATGAAAACACGCAGGCTGACTCAGTTGCAAAACAGGTCCTGGGCAGGCATTAGGTTAAGTGGAGCACTATTTTTAATAACTGAGGTGTCAGCTTCTCAGAGGAAATGCCACATCTCTAAGCTGGCACATATTTGCATTTTATATGACTCTGCAAAATTTGACTTCAGCGGCAAATGAAAGCACCAAAACTGCTCAATGTGGCTGCTGGAAAAACTGGAGCAGCATTTTGAACCGTACTGAGAGGAGAAGGGAGGGGAAGATGTGACTACTCAAGGTCTTGAATTGCAGATGGTTTCATAGCCCAAGCTATAAAATGTTACAGGTGGCTCTAGACTGCAAGCTAAGCACACTACTTGCACAATGTATAGGCTGGCACAGTCACAACAGATGGTGGTGAAAGACTCTAGGCAAAGACAGCAGAAAGAGAGGGGATATTAGCGAAGTGGTCTTGGAGAGAAGTCCTCAGTAAGTCAAAATTAGCCTGTACTAAGTTATGTGTCTAACTGCTGCATTTATGCAGATTTATGCGACATTAAATGAAATCTGCATTTAATGCAGTCTAAAAACTTCTGTTTGACGTCAGTTGCTTGGTCTCTTGGTCACGGATCCTGCGGGTAGCACTTTGACAGCCAGCGGTTTAATATCGGCATGTTGTTATTGCAGACAGAAGTTTGGCTGGGAAAGGCTTTCTATAGCAGTCACAGAAACTTTAGGAGGCTGAGGTCTGATCTCTACATATACCAGCACAGAAGAGCTTCTGGTCCTGCGGGTCCCGATCTTTGTTGGAGCTGGGCTAGAGAGAGCTTGCTGTATTTAAATCTAGCACTCGTCTGTCACAGGCCTGTCCCCATCCTGCTGCATAAATATCAAAATGATCAGGAATCAAGAAAAATCGGATCTACTATCCCACCTTCTTGTGATGATGAGAGTTGTGAATTGTCAGCCACTGAAATATTTAATGGAATCCTGCTCACATGCAAATGGAGTTTCTGTTGGTTTGGGCCTTGCAAACTTCGTATCTGTTGCATAATGCAAGGTCAGATTTGAACCCACAACTTGTTTGGACATGCAGTGATTTTTCAAGCTCTTTTGGCCCTGTAGATAATCTAGTATGGACTTGTTGGAGTGAAGGGAGGGTGGGTTCCATAGTGGAGCTCGTGCTAGGGGCTCACAGGTTTGTCTCTCCCCACAGACTTGCTGCACAGCTGAGACTTGCTGGTGTTTAGACTCAAATGCAACAGGATTAACGATTTCACCCCACTTTTTTTAAGCTTAAAAGGTAGACAACTTACATGAAAACATGTAAAACTATTTCAGAAATGAAAGCTCAAACAAGAATTGAGATAACAGGTTTAGTTGTACTTTAGCCTGAACTGTTGTATACTAAAGTCTGAAAATAAATATGCGAAACAAAGTTAAGATCAGCTCTGAGTTGAGACAACTGTTGTGCAGCATGGTTAACGTTACATTTCTTTTGCTTTTTGTGGAGAAGGGTCAGGAACCACAGATTTCTAACAATATTGCTATTAAAGATGCTGATATTTTTCTTTCTGTATAATGAGTGAATGGTATATCTGGAAAAAGTAGATAAAAATAATTTTTTAAATCAAGTCACTTAAGGTATGCATTGAATTTTGTGGTGTTCTACGTACATTGCCACAAAAGGACATAGCCCGAATTCCAGTGAGCTGAAGCTCTGACTCCTGCCTGCTTCATATCCTGTGCAGGTAGCCATGCAACAGGCATGTTGCTCCTCAGGTCCAGCCTCTACCTTGTACATATGTACCCCGTGCATAAGCACAGGAGAGGGAATGTTTCAGTGGTTTGTATCTTGCTGAGTCAGGGCCTTGATGAGAAACCTTGTAGGCACAAAAATCAATATAGGAAGCATGGGAGCAGTAACTCTGCAGGTGCAAGATGCCAGAGCTGAGCCCCAGCACTGTATTTTGCTGAGCTCAGTGAATGTTTGGGTCCCCTTTTCTTTTTTTGCAATGGTTGTACTAACTTATTTGGAATCATTGTAGTAACTTAGATGTGATGGGTCTCATCAGACTACCTGCGCAAAAGTTTCACAAACTGAAAATGTTGCGTTTGAATTTCTTGAATTCTAATGACTTAATTCACATGCACAGCATGTATTTTTCCTACAGAGTCAGAAGCGAGGGCATTGGCTAAGGAGAGGCAAAAGAAAGACAATCACAACTTGAGTAAGTTGATTCTTCTCTTTTTTCACTAATTCTAGTGTTTTTAGATGTTTTCTAAGTGTTGGAATTCTGGTGTGTTAAGTTTCTGGGTGAGATGCTGCATTTAATGTATTGCAGTAGTTCAATCTGTTATGCCAAGAGATCAAATATCTCCAGTTCTCCTGAACTGGCGACTAAAATCTAGTATTGATCATTATTTTTCCCCAAAGCAAAGTAAACAAGTGGTCTAACAAACAGAAGTGTTCTCTTTAGTGGGACTTGTTGGAATATTAGTCTGCATTCCTAGACATTGTGTCTGTAGAATTACTGAGAACAATATTTGATCCAGTTCGTTTAACCAACTCAACAAAATTTTGCTTAAAAAAATGAAAGAAACTTGAATCTAAAACGAGTTATTCAATCTATGACTTGCTTTAAATGTCATCATACACTTGTAGTGTGACAACTTATAAGCAAATGAACTTCATCTTTTTAAGAAACAACTTAGCTCTGAGTAACAAACATTAAAATGATGAATGTTTTATGACTTAAAATAGGAAAGGGCATTTTTAAGGTTCTTTAATATTAGTAGGGAAAAGGAGCTGAATAATTTGCAATTATGAATATTGCTTGTAATGTTTGTTTTGTTTTTGCTTTTTTCTTAAAGTTGAACGAAGAAGAAGATTTAATATTAATGATCGTATTAAAGAACTAGGCACTTTGATACCCAAGTCAAATGACCCGTAAGTATAATGTGTCCAAGCAGACTGTGGGAGTGAGATATTCAAAGGAGAAAACAAAAACAAACCCTTGATAAATGGAATGAAATATTTTTGCCTTTTTTGTAGCACTTTAAAACTTTTCTGGAAAGGCTTGAAAACTCTATTTGAGTTTTGTGAAAATTACCCATATGTGAACCTTTAATCTCCCAATTTAGCTAACTCTGTAGATACTTGGCTTGCTTGACAAGACAGAATCTATGCCTGTTTTTGTGAGAATGGAGAGCAGTCCCCTGGAAAGCCATTGTATTCCCCTATGTGTATGCTTTCATTGCCAATTTAGAATTATTGTGGTAATTTTTCAGAAAGGGAGACAATCTCACTGTTGCAAACACACCTTAATGTGTATCCAGTGCTGATTGCGTAGCAAGGAAGCTCCTTGCTCTGGAGCTTGAAAGTCTCCCTTAAGCCTGGATGAAAGCAGCAAGTTTCTTTTGGGGAGAATTTCCATTGTTTTCTGGTAGTGGCAGGCTATAAAAGCTCCTGAGAAGGGGCTCTTTGGCTTTCTCTAAGGCCCTTGACCAAACTGTGGGACAACTGGATCTTTCATCCAGTAGAAGTTCTTTAAATATATGTGTGTGTGTATGTTGTGTGTGTTTTTTCTTTTCTTTTCTTTTTTATTTTTAATTTAAGAAGTTTGTCTGCATGAAGAAGTCTAAAACACCAAAATACAATGCTGTATTTGGCTTTCCCCTCCTTACTGTCACCAAGCTGTGGCATAGTGCCACCAAGAGGTTATTGCTTACCTTCCTGGGAGCTGAAGAATCTCCTGTCTTTTCCTCCCCGAAGTACCAAGTCACATATGGTTCTTCGTGAATTCTAGTTCCCTCACAGGTTTTTTAATCACGCAGCAGAAATTAGGAGCTAACTCTCATCTCTGAGAAGTCTTGGAGGCACCGGGGAGCTGCTGCTGTGCCTGATGGCCTGCAGCTAGGACGATGCTCACTGCATCATCCCTTTCAGCCTGTGCTCTGGCCCCCTCTAGCGCATCTCAAAAGCCTAAAAAAAAAAAAGAAAAGAATTTACCTGAGTGTTAGATAACACGAGATGTAATTGCAGCTGCTGGCATGGTGGTGGTGACTAAAGCAAACCCTCCCTGGAATCCCTAACTTCTTTTTGTGCTGATTTCTCAGGGATATGCGCTGGAATAAGGGAACTATTTTAAAAGCCTCGGTTGACTACATCCGCAAGCTGCAGAGAGAACAGCAGCGCACCAAGGAGCTTGAGAACAGGCAGAAGAAGTTGGAACACGCCAACAGGCACCTGCTGCTCCGGATACAGGTTTGCCCATAGAGAAGCCGTGAAGGCTTGTGGTGTCACAGCGCGAAGCCATGATCGGAATGTGCTTGTAGGAATGTGTGCTAGAGGGAAAACTGCTGTTTTAATTCATGGTGAACGGGGCTCTTTCAGAAAAATAGAAGTTACGCTGCTATCACTAGACCGCTGCAATCTAGGAAAGCACCTGGAGCTGATATCTTTTTCTCCTTCTGTAGCAAAATAGTTTTGCAAACCATACTGTGTGGTAAATAAAGATATATATGGTAAAACTTTTTCTCCGAGTAGCGCCACGTATATTTGGACTATTTCCTGATGATAATCAGAAGCTTGCTGAATGCAAGATCTCCAAGGGCTCCAGCAGGATAGCCTAGAGCTCTGGCTGTGGAGCTCTTCCATCCACAGAGCGAGGGTTGCTCCTACTGTCTGTTCCCTGTTGTAGGGTGAAGTCTCTAGGGTTTGTAAGATTGTAAGGTGAAGTTTGGCGAGGTGGGTTCTCCCACCCCAAACTGTATAGGAAGCCTTATCCAGCATAGCAGCCTAAGCAGCCTTGGCTCTTGGCTCTGTTATCCACGAGGGCAAACACAAGCTGGATGTTATTCACCCCTCTATAAGAGTAATGCAAGAAGAGTTCACAGGATCAAGTGCAAGACTATATACCACGAAGGCTGTAATGGAGCAGGTTGCTGGTCCCAGGCACCCTTACGCTGGTGCTCCCTAATGGAGCTAGAAAGACCGGAGTCAAGCATGGCAGAATAGCCTTAAAATAAGTAGTCCGGAATGTGCTTTGGTGCAGGTTTTGTGCTGTGCTGAGCAATCTGTTGGCCAGAGTAGAGATGGAGCAACATTAAGCTGTGCTGTTCCGAAGTTAGGTCAGATTGCTTCTGAAGTATTTCATCATCTTCTATCATCATAACAAAACTCAGATTTTTGTATAATGAACCTTACATCTAGGAGCAAATAACCTAAAGTCTGTATTTTCATTTTTTGTATTTATTCTGGTTAAGTACATAGTAGGGGGCACGGTGATTCTGACATGTTGGCTAGAGGGAGAAATTCTTTCTGTTCCATTTTCTTGCCGTGTGCCCTTGCAAGCTTGTTGTCTTAGTT